ATATATCTCGTGTGGTGGTAATCAGGGACATTGACTGGTGACAGTATGTAAAAAAATGTAAATAATAATAGTTTAATTTTTTTTATTTTTCAATTTTTTTTTTTTTTATTATATTATATTTTCTTTTTTCTTTACTTTTTTTTTTTCAAAACACTGACCAAAGCAATACAATGTTACCATAATAACATTGAACTACTCTGGGCAAGTGATCAGGATTTTTTCTTTTTTTTTAACACATTATGATTGCTAAGACCAATGTATTTAATTGATATTTGCAATCATTGTTACTGAATGAAACTGATTCATTCAGTCTTTTGTTGTGATTAGCTGTGATTGGGCAAAGCTCATCACATGCAACAGATGGGCTGTGATCAGCCCTGTCTGTATCATGTGACTGCTTTGACCAGTCACAGCTAACAACATAGTTTTATACAATGGATGGCATGACAGGAAGCCATCCATTGTATACAATTGACATGTGATCTGCTGTGATTGGTCACAGCGGTCAGATGACACTGGCAACGGGCCGGTATAGTGATATGTCATTGGCTGTGTCCTGTGGACAAAGCTGGTGAAAAATTGTGTCGCTGAGCGGCCCCGCGGCTCATTTTGACAGGGCGTCATATGATGCCCAGTCACAACAAGGAGTGTTCTACCCAGTCATCAATCTGCTATAGGCCGGGCGGGAAGGTGTTAATCAACCGCCGTTTTGCTGACTACTATGCAAAATTGTATTCCTCCAAAGTTGCCTGCACATCACAGGACTTGTCCTACTGTCTGGATTGTGTTGAACTGCTGTCTCTCTCTCCCCAACCCAGAGGGGACAATTGGAGGCTCCGATTTCCTTGGAGGAGATCCAACAGGCGATTGGCGCTCTTCAATCTGGCAAAATGCCAGGTCCGGATGGCTTTCCAATTGATTTCTATAAAACATATATTGAACAACTGGCTTCTTGCTTCTAAACACTTTTTAATGGACTACTTGAGACAGGGAACTTGCCCCCTTTTATGCTCCAAGCGGTAATAGTGGTGATTTTAAGGCCTTGGGAAGGACCCGACTCAATGCTCCTCTTATCGGCCAATCTCCCTTTTGAACACTGATGACTCGCTAAAGTGCTTTCTGGGAGGCTGTGCTCAGTTATCTCTATGTTAGTACACAATGATTAAACAGGCTTTGTGCTGGTAAAGGCAGTGACTTCAACATACGGAGACTATTCAATCATATTTCTATGGCTCGGGACAGCGATGTGATTCTATCCCTGGATGCCGAAAAGGCCTTCGATTCGGTCAAATCGGAATATCTATGGGAGACCCTGAGATGTTCAGATTTGGCCCTTATTTCATTTCATGGGTCAGATGCCTGTACAGTGCGCCGTTCACGAGAGTATATACTAACAATATTCTTTCTCCCACTTTTGCACTCCATAGGGGAAAACAGCAGCGTTGCCTGTTTTCACCGGGCCTGTTTGCCCTTGCGATCGAGCCTTTTTACATGCTTGATCCATTCTTCCAAGACCTTGCACAGGCTTCCAGTGGGCGACTGGAAGGATAGAGTTTCCCTGTATGCGGATGACACTCTCTTATATCTGAAGGACTGAAATTCATCTCTTAGAGCCGCACTGGACCTTATCGATCACTTCAGCAGTTACTCTGGGATACACATAAATTGCTAGGTCAATATTATTTCCTCTTGCGAATGGACCTTTGCCTGACATTTCATTTGCCCGTATTAGATCGGTTTCCAAATTTAAATACTTGAGTGTAATGGTGCAGCGCGACTTGACAAAATACCTTTCAGACAATCTTCACCCTGTCCTACAACATTTGCAGACTAAAGGTAATGCCTAGTCTTGCCTTCCTATTAGCACCATAGGCCGAGTAAATCTTTTTAAACTGATATTCCTTCCTAAATTTATTTACTTTTTTCTACATACGTCGGTACAAATCCCGCAGTTCTTTTTCTGTAGTGTGGATGGTATTGTGGTTCTCTGGGCTAGGAGGGCCCCTAGACTTTCCCGATCGACCTTGCACTTTCCCATTAGTTGGGGCAGCCTGGCACTACCTAAGCTGCTTTTATATTATTGTTCTGTGCACTGGTGGCTCTTTCGGCCTAGGTATATTGCAGCGGTGATCCTGGAGACAACAGTATTGGGCTGTTATGCAGAACTTCGTAACCTGGTTCATAGGGGACGGGAGTCCAACCCGGCCATCATTACTCCCTTGCTGATGACCCTGTGGAGACAGGTTAGGAATCAGTACAGTGTAAATAACACCTATTCCCCTCACAAGCCGCTCTGGGTCAATCCTACACTCCCCCATCTGCACACAATAACAGATCCTGCGGTGTGGGCTCGGTATGGATTCAAAACGTTGAGCCATATTAGGCATTATGGTGTCCTGCTCTCTTTCAATGAACTCAAACACAACCATGACTTTCCTAACCGGATGTTTTTCCAGTTTCTACAACTGCAACATGCTGTGGCCGCCAAATTTCCTTCTCCCCCTGATATACAGACTGACCCTCTAGAACAGTGTTTCTCAACCTTTTTTCAGTCAAGGCACCCTTTAAAATTGTGGACAGTCCCAAGGCACCCCATTCTAAAATGTGAAAAAGTATTCTATTAGTTTTATATAACGCAGCAACATCTACACATGTAGAACACCCAACATTAGAGGTGATTTATTCTTCCAACACAAATACACTTTTGCACACTGGTACTGAGTAGTATTCCAGCTTTTCACTTCTCCCTCATTTATTATCCATCACTGAGCTAATGTGACCCCAGCACTTGGATGCTATGCAGGCAACGGACATCCTCCTTATCAATTGATGATGTCATTGGTTGTCAGGACACCGGTGGTTAGAAGGTCCTAATGGTGCACAATGACAACCTGTGGCTTTGTGTAACTAAAAGGCAGGCTTGTTCCACCCACTGGCTTGTATGCAAGTTTTGGGCAATTTTTAGACATTTTGCCAAGGCACCCCTGAAGAAACCTCAAGGCACCCTGGGGTGCCTGGGCACCCTGGTTGAGAAAGGCTGCTCTAGAAAACTTGTTGTTAACGGAGGACTTGCCTAAACCTTTATCCTCTCTCCATTCCCTGTTGCTACCCCTATCTACCCCTAGAATGCAGTCACTTTACAGTAAATGGCACGCAGACCATTTGTTCCTGTCGGAGGATGATTGGGAGGATTGTCTTTTACAATGCCTCCCTACCATGAGCTCATCCAGGGACCGATTTATACAACAAAAATATATCCATAGAGTATATTACACCCTGTGGCGACTGGCTGTGATATATCCTGGTAGATCGACAACATGTCCTCGTTGTGATATCATGGAAGGCACGTTTCACAATATGTTTTGGGAATGTTCGAAACTAGGTCCCTTTTGGACTGGGGTATTAGATACTATTAATGTTGTGGGTAAACTGTCCATTCCCATGGCTCCACTGATTATGTTGTTAGGCCTCATTGACCTCATGGAAGCATCTAAGCATAGCAAGCTGTTTGTCTTTTATTCTCTCTATTACGCTAGAAGAGAAATTTTGTTGAGATGGAAGTTGTCTACCCCGCCCACGGTTTCAGGTTGGAAGTCGGCAATCAACGGTGCGCTTCCCTTGTATAAACTTACATATATAAGTCGCAAATGTCCAGCTAAATTTGATAGAATATGGGCTGGGTGGGTGGAGACACAGGGCCTTACGGTATAATCATTGGTGCAATCATTGGCATTTCCACTTGAGGTTGTGACAAGTTTGTATTGTTTGTCTGACTTGTCACTATTTGTGTTACCTACCTTTCTTCTTCACCCTTTTCCCCCTCCCCCCTTCCCCTTCTTGCCCTTCCCGCTCTTTTTTCTTCCTGCTTTGGCTCACGCCCTGTGATTTTCTCCTCAACTCTTTTCTCTTGAGGGTTGTTACCATCTGAACCGTAATATGTATGCGATTCTGACTCAGTTCAAGACAACAGGTTGATTCTGTAAGATTTTCAGCATTGGAAGTTTGTATGTACTGATTATCTACTGTATGCCATGAGCTTGACTGTTCTCATGTACCTTGGTTTGTTTCTTCTTTTGTACGATTTTAATAAATGGAACTGTTAAAAAAAAAAAAAAAAAGAAATGATCTTTATGCTGTAAAGCAAAGTAAAAAAAAAAAATCCCTGATCACCCCCCCCCCACAGTAGTACAAAGTTACTATGGTAACATTGTACTACTCTGATAAAGGTACTTAAAAAAAAAATAAGAAAATAAAAAAATGTTAAAAAAATTTAAATAAAAAAATACCGTATTGAGAATTTTTAACAAAATAAAATTTCTAAGGGTTTTTTTTTTAACTACTTGTCGACGGCTTACCCACATTTTGCAGGTGAGCAGCAAAACTATGTAATCTTATGTTGCTTTCTATTTCGGGCTGTGAATGCACCTGCGCCCCCCTACTTGCCCCCCCCCCCCCCCCCCCCCGTCAGTCCAGGGAGAGAAGAAAGAACACCGCACTGAGTAAAGCACTACATTTTACACACACACACACGCACAGGTTGGATTAGCACATTTAACCCTTTGATCACCCCATCACCCATTTTTCACTGATCATTGTATTCCTGCATCTAGCAACATCAGATAGCATCAGGGTCAGTTAGTGCCCCCTCCCAGCCAGAGTCAGCTAGTGTTAGATGATCATGAACAGAACTATACTAGTGCCTCCTTTTTATAGTGCTCCCAAACACGCAGTGTTGGTAGGATCAGACCCGTTTGCTGCCAGCACTAGCGTTTAGCCCCACCGCTGTTTTTCACTGAAGATTTGTATCAATTGATTGTGTGCCAAAGCAATTTATATGTACAACAATACATCACCGCTCACCCAAATTCAGCTCTTGACAGACAATTCGTATGGAAACCTATCACAGTTTCTGAATTTAAAACTTTTTTGGGCCTAACCCTCAACATGGGCATTACATAGAAGAATGAATTGCGGTCATATTGGTCCACAGACCCAATTCATATTATGCCCATGTTCTCTGCTGTTACATATATGTCCAACATGGACCAGCAATATACTGATATGTTGCTGGATTTTGAGTGGTTATACTGGGATGATGCCTGCAGCTTTTTTTTCAGCTGGCAGTCGGCTTTCATGTAAAAGCAATCCTAGTGGCCAATTAGCTGCTGAATCATTTTTACAAGCAGCTGGAAGGGACATTCCCCCCTCCTGCCACCTTCCACAGTTTTCTTTGGCCCACCACATGGGAATCTGGGAATGCAGTTGGCAGTTCCGCTGGCTGACCATATAGCTGATCAGAGACCAGAATGGCTCCAATCATCTCTATGGTCTAAGAGCCTGGAAGCTAAAAGCATTTCATCATTGCCATTTTGCCAGACTTTAACAGCACCATTTTTAAATTGGGAAAGCATCTGATCACACCGATCTTGGTGTGATCAGATGCTTTAAGGGCAGAGGAGATATTTAGAGCCTAATAGACCCCAGATTTATCAGAGTACCTGTCTCTGCCTATTGCTATCACAGGGGATAGTTACATTCCCTGTGATAACAATAAAAGTGATGAAAAAAAAGACACGGATAATGTAAAAAAAAAAAAAAAAAAAAAATACCTATGCCCCACCCCGTGCTCATGCGCAAAGGCAAACTAAAGCGTTGGTCCCGTGTCGATATGTAAACAGAGATTGCACCACGCATGTTAGGTCAGAACGTCAGATCGAGGGCAGTAATTATAGCACTAGACCTCCTGTATAAATATAAATTGGTGATCTGTAAAGGCTTTTAAAGTGTCGCCCATCAATATTAAAAATGTATGTACATTGTTGCCATTGCATGGGCATGCACAATTTTAAAGCATGTCATGTTTGGTATCCATTTACTCGACGTTACGTGAAGAAAAATGGTACTGCACTACTAAGGGTGAACCTAATTAAACAATACCACATAAGCTACTGATAAATGAGTGAATAATAACAGAAAGAAAAATAAATACAAAAAAAATTAATTCTTCACATACAACCAGTGCCAAAAAGTGCACAATGATAACTCAAGGAGTGAATACACAGTGGTGTAACAAATAGGAATGGTGTGTTCATAACAAGGAGAGAGTAATATCAGTGAATAAGTGACACAGAAACCACTATCAAAATCAATAAAAAGTGGTATAAGGGAATGACATAGAATACATGTGGCACAAATGGTGGCTAAGGACCATCAAGTGGAGTTAAACAAAATATATATAAAATACAAATATAATCAAATAGCAATGTAAAGTGGCATACAAAAAGTGACAACAAAAAATAACCTGGACCAATAAGTGAATGCAAAAAATGTATAAAATGAATAGCAAAAGAAATGGACTCAAAATAAGTCCCAAAAAGTCCAAAAAATAATAACAGTCCCAAATTACAAACTGTGTGTGAATCTTCCACCCAAAAAAAGTGTAGAATTCAGTGACCAAACAAAAAAGAGGGGCAATCCTTCACTGCCTAGCTTCCGTGCTCACCTTCAAACTGAGACCCTCAAGCATAAATGCAAGCAGATGATCCTCAACTGGATGGATCTCAATGGCGGAATGGAGGTGAAGGAGAGCTAAAGGTATACACACCCTAAAAGATATTGTTAGCACTGATTGCTGTGGATGCCATGGAGAGGAGCTTTTGTGTGTTCCGCCATTGAGATCCAAAAGGCTTGGTCATCAAGAGTGGGTGATAAACTTCTTGAAAGGCCAGGATAGTAGAAGCAACCCCTCCAAATGACCTCTTTTTGGAAAGTAGACACTCCAAGGTATTTGCTAAGAGGCATGGTGAGTATTTTACAGATCTCATTTGTTGCCACATGTTTATGGAAAACGAAGAAAGAAAACAAAAATTTATTTTTTCTTTTCTTTTTTATTTTTTAAAACCCTGTGACAAAAATGATATTGGTAAAATACTCACCATGCCTCTTATCAAATTCCTTAGGGTGTCTACTTTCCAAAAAAGGGTCATTTGGGGGGTGTTTGTACTATCTTGGCATTTTAGGGCCTCCGAAACTGTGGTAGGTAGTGAGGAAGTGATATGAGGAAATATGCCATTTGAAAGTCTGGAACTGGCCATTGGATTTTGGGGGCCTGTATGTAGCTAGGCTGCCAAACATTATCTCACATGTGGTATCCTCATACTCAAGAGAAATAGAAAAATGTGTTTTGGGGTGTTATTCCACATATACCCATGGCATGCATGAGCAATATATCATTTAAGTTGAAAACTTTGTGTAAAAAAATTTTTTTTTAAATTGTCATTTTCAAAAAATTTATGCCAGAAAATAAAATGTTCCATGGGCTCAACATGCCTCTCTGCATAATTGTTGGGGGTGTCTACTTTCCAGAAAGGGGTCATTTGGGGGGGGGGGGGGGTTGTACTGCCCTGGCATTTTAGCACCTCTAGAAATGTGATAGACAGTCAGAAAGTAAAAGCTGTGTAAATTCCAATATACAGTTGTGTTCAAAATAATAGCAGTCAGACATCACTAACCTGATCAATCACTGTTTTTGGTAGAAATGATATTTCTACATGGCAAATAATTTACTAGCAGGGGTAGTAGAGTAATAGAAATCCAACAGACCCCACAGTCATGACATGCATGCTGCTGATTCTGTGTAATTGAATCATTAATTGAAAGGAGTATGTTCAAAATAATAGCAGTGTGGAGTTCTGTTAGTGAGGTCATTCATTCTTTGAAAAACAGGTGGCAATTATTGCCCTTATTTAAGGAAGGAAGGCAGCAGATGTTGTACATTCTGGTTACAGTGCATTTCTCTCTGAAATTCTGAGGAAAATGGGTTGTTCCAGACATTGTTCAGAAGAACAGCGTACCTTAATTAAAAAGTTGATTGGAGAGGGGAAAACATATAAAGAAGTACAGAAAAATGATAGGCTGCTCAGCTAAAATGATCGCAAATGCTTTAAAATGGCAACCAAAACCTGAAAGCTGTGGAAGAAAGCGAAAAACTACCATTCGAATAGATAGAAGAATAGCCAAAATGGCAAGGACTCAGCCAACAATCAGCTCCAGGAAGATTAAAGAAGGTCTAAAGTTACCTGTGAGTACTGTTACAATTAGAAGAATTGTGAAGCCAAGCTATCTGCAAGAAGCCCCTGCAAAGTTCCACTGTTGAAAAAAATACATGTACTGAAGAGGTTACAATTTGCCAAAGAGCACATTGACTGGCCTAAAGAGAAATGGCGCAACATGTTGTGGACTGATGAAAGTAAGATTGTTCTTTTTGGGTCTAGTGGCCGGAGACAGTTTGTCAGATGACCCCCAAACACTGAATTCAAGCCACAGTACACTGTGAAGACAGTGAAGCATGGTTGCGCAAGCATCATGATATGGGGATGTTTCTCATATTACGGTGTTGGGCCTATTTATCACATACAAGGGATCATGGGTCAGTTTGAATACATCAGAATACTTGAAGAGGTCATGCTGCCTTATGCTGAAGAGGAAATGCCCTTGAAATGGGTGTTCCAACAAGACAACGACCCCAAACACACCAGTAAATGTGCAACATCTTGGTTCCAGACCAACAAGATTGATGTTATGGAGTGGCCAGCCCAATCCCCGGATTTTAATCCAATAGAAAACTTGTGGGGTGACATCAAAAATGCAGTTTCTGAGGCAAAACCAAGAAACGGAGAAGAACTGTGGAATGTAGTCCAATCATCCTGGGCTGGAATACCTGTTCACAGGTACCAGAAGTTGGTTGACTCCATGCAACACAGATGTACAGCAGTTCTCAGAAACAGTGCTTATACAACTAAATATTAATTAAGTGATTCAAAGGAAAGCAAAATCTTCAAACATTTTTCAGTTTATATAGTAAATGTCTGAGTTTGTAAAGAAGAATACAAACACTGCTATTTTTTTGAACAGTCTAATATTCACTTTTCTTCATTTTTTTGGGGAGGAACAACACAAATTTGATATATTTTTCTTCATGTTTTGATTTGGAATAGAATGTGTAGTGTTCCCAATGCATTTGTGTGTATGGAAATTGTGTGTATTAGAAGGATTTTGAGCTTTATTCACTTTTTTCAACACACTGCTATTATTTTGAACACAACTGTATATACCATAGTTTGTAGACGCTATAACTATATTCATGTATTGGGATTTTTTTTACCAAAGACATGTAACTGAAAACATTTTGGCCTAAATTTATGACTAACTGTGAGTTTATTGGATATTTTTTTATAACCAAAAGTGAAAAATATTGTTTTTTTTTTTTAAATTTTCATTCTTTTTTTGTTTATAGCACAAAAAGTAAAAACCACAGAGGTGATCAAATACCAAAGGAAAGCTCTATTTGTGTGAAAAAGGACATACATTTCGTTTGGGTACAACTTTGCACAACCGCGCAATTACCTGTTGAAATAGCACAGTGCCGAACAGCAAAAAATGGCCTGGTCATGAAGGGGGGTAAATCTTCCAGAGGGCAAGTGGTTAAAGAAAGTCTCCAAGTCAAAGAGGCTGGTACTCACTGTATCCTGCATACTGTGTTGCTACCTGTGGTATCAGTCAGCTGATTTGACCTTGAATGAGATCTCTGCAAATATTCAGGTGGCTAGGCCAGAGGAACCCCAGCCAAAGCAGAAGCCAGGACACCAAAAGAATTCTTGCAGCTGCAGGTAGTCTCCCAGGGATGCCACAGCCCTCAGGCTGGGTCTTACTTCCCCAGGAACAAAAGACCTCTGTTCTGGGCCCCAGCCTATTAATACCTTTCTCAGCCCCTCTGCTGGTCACTCAGTCTGTATTACTCCCAGTGGACCCCCTTCAGGGCCATCTTACATCTGCAGTTTTTCACAGTTTAAGGTGGATATAAAAATTAAATATCTTGGGGTATTTATTCGTTCCAGAGAATATGTTTCTTAAAACTTGTTCCTCTTCAGAAATTCAGTTCCCTGGGTAGGGTATGGTGTAAGCTGCCACTTTCTGTGGCTGACCTTACCAACCTTCTAAAATGATATGGATGCCTTGGTTAATGTAATATTTACATAATTCACCATGTTGGATTCCACATAAGAATTAAAAAAATAGGTGTAGCGCTCTCTAACCAAACAGTGACTGAAATCCCCAAGAGGGAGTAATGATGTGA